ATGGGGAATTCCACGCTCAATTGGCCTTTACCAAACGATATAAGAGGCTTGCCGCCGATACATTATGGACTGCATCCACCAGTATCGTTTCGAGAACCAGGATCAAGATTGCTCAATTCGAGCGACTCGGTAAATATCGCCAAACCTCGTCCATTGCCTACTGCTAATGGTGTCTAGACACTTGCTCGCGCAACGCCACGGGCGCCCGGTTCCCAAACCCCACGCTCCATCGAGTCCGCAACATCTGTTGACTCTCAATTCCACACGTCCAATGTTTCACTATGGGGAGACGTGCGGCAAGAAGAAGCCAAGCTGCGATGGGACGCGGAAGAAGAGCTTAAGAGAGTATCCAAGGAACTCCTGCGGCTTCAAAAATGGGCGCTGATCGCAGGGCTCGTCGTCTTGAATTCTGCCCTCATCACCATAAGTCTTCTGCTACCACAAGCAGTATACCTATTCCTAGCGTTGCTTAGCTGCAACACCATACTGCAAGCGGGAATGGTGGTATGTATCGTGGCTAATGTGATATGGACCAAGATTATTTGCGGTTGTCGTAAAAAGAAGAGCACGGCGCCTGCGACGCCAGAAAGAATGGTCCTTCTGCTCCCTTGTTACAATGAAACCAAAGAAGAAATAGCGCGGTCGCTAGATTCCCTGGTTTCTCAGAAAGGGATTAATGAACACGCGCGACTCGTGTTCATCGTCGTGGACGGAAATGTACGTGGTCCCGGAATGGAAAAGACCACGCAAGACTATTTCCTCGAGGACATACTCCAGCCAGGGACTTCCAAATATTTCGAAAACGGGTACCGCGCAAGAGATGGACTGTTCATGCCGGTCAAAACACGAGTAGGTCGATACAAGGGCATACCGTTTGTGTTTGTGGGAAAACGATATAACCAGGGCAAACGCGACAGCTTGTGCTTTGCCCGCTCCTTCTTGTACCACTTCAAGAAGCGGTCGGTAAACGCTGTGACAATCTTCAACAAGGAACTGTTTGAGTATCTCGGCAACTGCCTGCTGGAAAGCGGCCTACCCGACGTGGACTACCTGGTCGGCATGGACGCCGACACCGTCTTTGACGACTTTTGCGTCGTCGAGATGGTCAATACCATTCGCAAGAACCCCAAACTTGTCGGTGTTTGCGGCCACGTTTGCGTCGACTTTGACGGGAATAACTTTGGTCTCTGGTCCCTGTACCAATCCGTCGAGTACTCCCAGACCCAGGGCTTAAGAAGAATGTTCCAGTCGAGGATCACGGGCAAAGTCAACTGCCTCCCTGGGTGCTGTCAACTTATTAAAGTGGATGAAGCTACGTTTGGAGACACTGTCCTACGCGAACGCTTCGGCTACTGTCCCAAGCCGAATGATGTCATGACGCAGCAAATCATGGGCAACTATTCCGAGGACAGTATCCACGCGTCCATCATATTCAGCCTGTTTCCCAAGAAACAAACGGCGCAGGCCCTCCGCTCCAAAGCATTCACCATCGTCCCGCAGACGTGGAAGGTGTTTCTATCGCAGCGAAAGCGCTGGGCGCTAGGAAGCATCTCAAATGAGTTTGTCATGATCTTCCGGCCGGGAATCATTCTCGTTGAACGGCTGCAGAGCATCGTCGCAGTCATGACGTGGGCCATTACGCCGTTCATCATTTCCGCGGTGGCGCAATTGATTGCGCTCTTTGCTAAGAAGGGCGCAAAGGTTTTCGAAGACGAGATATTCGTTGGTTTAATTTCTGTACTCTGGGTTAGATATGTAAGTTCTTCGACCACACTGCCCGGGGTTTGTGGACCGCAATTCGGGGTTACACCAGGCTTGACTGACCACAAGTCCATCTAGCTATACTCTTTCTGCATCGGCTTTTGGCTTCCAAGAAATAACCTAGAGAGACTTCAATATTTCGTTGGATTCATTATCCACTTTTTGTCGTCGCCGTTTATAAACATCATCATCTTAATCTATTCATTGTTTTACGCGGACGACTTCAAGTGGGGTAAGACGAGGGAAGTTATTACCTCTGATGCAGAGAAAGGCGACGGGCTTGGTGGGCGAGGGACGCACTGATGATAGCACATAGGTGATGAGGCACTATTCGCATAGATAACTTATTAACTCGGTAGATTACACACCAGCGTTCGTATCTCTGTCGGTCGCGTCAGTGGTTGCTTCCAATCTCTATACTGGCCCAGAAAGCTCTACTGTTCATTAGTCTACTTGCTCCTGGGAGACGATGCCGCCTATTCCGGCTTCTCTTGCGGTCGGGCTACTCTTCGGGACTGTTATATCAAGTTGCTCTCTAATACGTTTCTTAGATGCATCGGGTAGACAGGCAGATGAAACACATAGAAAGTAAATCATGAAACTATGTTCTATCTGTTCTCAGCTGTAGGTTCGATTACTGGTTTATTGCAGTAGCGACATGGGAAATCCAACATTCTGTTTCAATCATATCACAGAAGTACTAACGGTGTGATGGATCCTGGGGCAGAGCAAAGAGGGACTGATCAACGTTCACACAGGAGCTCAAATGCACAAAACAAGCATCAATACTCTAAGCTACCTGCAAAGGTGTGATTGACGATCAAAAAAATAGAAAGGTACTGGAGGCAGTGCCTGCCATCAATGGGATAGTCCAACTGACTTGAGCCCCAACAAACGGGCCAGCAAACAGCCAGAAAACAAAATCGAGAACCATGAATGATATAAAACCGCAGAAAATTTATCATCAAACTAAAAAGAAAGCCAAAAGAACCCAACGTGTTCCACTTTTATTGGCCTTCCCTGGCCCTTTAGCACAGTCCAATTCCCTCACTTCTGGACAACCTTGGTTTTAATCTTCCTTTGGGAGCCGGATCCGGGCGACTCTGCCCGCTCCCTGCAATGCCAAGTGCACATTTCGGAGCATCCTGCATGGCTCAAAATACTTCTCGCCAGTTCGACCAATGACCATCACGCCCTCGAATGGTGCCTCCGGCTTCAGCACGTCGCCAGTGACATTAATATCCCCGACGATGATGAGGCCAGACCTGTGGCGACTCAGCAACACATTCAGCCGGTGCTCGTCAGAGGTGAACCCTGGACCCGAACTAGCCGTGGTCCCCATGATGATCATCACAATGTCACTTTCTTGGCCCTGAAAAGAGTCCACCGTCGCGGTCGGGCGCATTGGTTTCAAGGCAGCAAACTCTGGGCGCTTTCGAAACTTCTCGATGGTGCCAAGATTGGCCAAGTAAGGCGAAATAATAACCATGTTCTGCGGTCTTGCACCCGAGCTCTTGATGAAGTTTACCAGGATCTTTAGTCCCAGTGTTACCTGGCCGGGGTTTCTCGTCGAACCAGAAAACTCATCCTGGGAGGACGGGGAGCCCTCGCAATGGACAAAGACCGGAAGAAGCTTGCCAGCGGGAGCAGGCTTGATTCTTGGAAACTTTCGACAGAGATAACTCTCCAGTTTGCGGCCAATCTCATGATGGGGGAGGTCGATGGCGCATCCAGGGCCGTAGGTGAAAGGAATGTCTCTATAAACCTCGTTATACGTGAGGTCGAATTGTCCCTCCGCCATCCGAAGCAGGACACGAAGTCTGTATATGGGCCAACCCATGGACTTGAAGTGGTGGATGGGCGAGAACGCGCCATCTCCCGCGAACCTATTCAAGGAATTGCCATTTCTGTCTCGCTCTTGCTTCGTCATTACAGTTGGCGGCAGTTGCTTCTCATCGCCAGCAAGGAGACACGGCTTACAAGTATTGCCCCAGACACACAGCAGGTCTGGCCGATTCATGTTGGCAGCCTCGTCGAATATGAATCCCCGGGCCTCCCTCTTTCTCCAGTCACAGAAAGGCTTTTTGCATGCGAGGTATGGTGTCGTTGCAATGACATCGGCTACGGATAGAATGCTTGTCATGAGACGCCTGACGGGTGAGTCGCGGCCATCTATCACTTCCAAACCCCTTCTCTTATACTTTTCCCACTCAATGATACCCATTGCAACTTTGCTGAGGACCGCCAAAGAAGCATCCTTGTCGCATTTCTCGCGAATGGCATGCAAGCTCTCTTTGTCGTGTGGGCCAAGCTGTCTCACAGCGGGAGATCGAATGACTACCAACACCCAGTAAGCCAACGACAAATGTAGTCTCCATTTGGAATTCCTGGACCATGACGATTCAATAGTGGCGTTACTGGCATCCTGGGGATTCTGGAGGGCATTTTTGAGGGCCTTTAGCTCATCGTCGATCTTGAATGCATGGATAATGAGCTTTCGATGATACTTGGGTGAAAGGCCCTGTTGACTGAGCTTATCGTTTAGACGATTCGTCACTCGATCACTAATAAGATCCAGTCGTGCTGCGGCATTATCCACAGAGATGTGCGTAGGTCCCGATAAATATAACTTCCCTAAAGTCTGAGCCATTGCAACGGCTCCAATAGCAAGGGCGGTCGTCTTTCCAAACCCAGGCGGCTTGGAACATGGACTGGTAAGTATTCGGAAGCTAACCTTCAAAATGACTATTCCAGGGAAGAGAACTCACGGCGGTTATAATTCCGAGGCCAAGCGGTCGATTGCATAGATACTCGGTGAACCGAGAGCGGTCCTCGGGCAGGGCCTCCTGCATCAGGGCATCCACAAAATCGCGATCCGTGATTCTCAGGAGTGGAATATTTGGCAACGGATTAAATGGCGTATAGGGGATACCGAGGGCATCGGAAAGGCGAGGATTCGATATCGCAGTCGTAATCTTACCGCTTGCTGACGTGGGCTTGCCTTCAAAGGTGTTGTAGAACCCAGTGCCCAGGAACAAATCCCTTTGAACACTCATGAGAAGTTTAGCATTATCGAGCATTTTTTTCATTGTTGCCGAATCTTTCTTGGCCTTGGCTCCTTCCTCAATCATCTCGTTGAGATTGTATGGGCTTGCGGAACTCTTAAGGAGACAAACCCCTTCGTTGACTTTCCGCTGGAAGTCCTTCAGGTTGGCGTCAAAACGTAAGGAGATGCAATTCTATTGCTCCTTGCTATTTTCAAAGGCATCGTCGGCACTGGAGCGACCTCGAAACTCTGCGATTTTGAATCGTGAATTCCCCCACAATGGAGTCCGTCGAATGTAGAGAACTAGCTCATGGGCTTTGATTGGGTGTGCCTCTAAAACATCAATATGCTTTATGGATGAAGTATCCACGATGACCGCATCCCATGGGTCGTCTTTAGGGCGATACCCATCCCCTCTTTCAGCCTTGCTGTAGACTGAAATCTTGAGCTTTCCTTCCCTCGCGAGACGGCGCCAGGAGCTCTCAAAATTGGTTCGAAAGTATGGCGGAAGCGCAACAATTGCGTATAATAATTGGTCTTTCTCTGGATCCAAATCATCGTTGGCCGGGACAAAGTAGACTGGCAATTTCGTTCTCTCCATCTTTTCGGCATCTTCTTGCACCCACATAATATCTTGGATCTGAGATTGCGATAACACGGTGAGCAACTCGTTAATGTTATCAAAGGATGTGCGCGGGAAGAACTGCTGGCCTTTATTCTCCTCCAGCATTTCGTAGTATTCGCTCTCTGACTTCCAGTTATGAGATGTGCCGTATGGATAACGGAAAGGCCGCGGAAGGACGTCAAAGTTCCAGTCTTCGCTGAGTCTAATATTCTCTGATGCGACGACAAAATGGTACCTTCTTTGCGCCAACAGTCCCGTGAGAGTGACATTATTTATAATAGGCATGTTATCGTGCAGCCACTTATCGGCAATATGGCCCCTGTTGGCATAAGGCATGCCATAGCCTTCAACGATAACTTGAGCGCCAGATTTCAGGATGACATCAACAAGATAAAGTTCTCGCTTTTCATCTGGAAAACGGCTCCGTATTAAATCATCCGCAGGCCATATATCACGCACGATATTATATCCAGGAAACTTGACCGTGATGCTATACGTTTTAGTTGGCACTGCTATTCCTTCCGAATCGGACCCTATACATGATGTTAGTCTTGCCCAAACAAGAGGAAAAAATCATGAAGGAATGCTTACAGCGATAGCATATGCCAAATCCATTTTCCTCATTATCTTCACCAAAAGGAAAATGGATGTCAAAACCTAACCAAGCTGTCTTATCAGGTATATTTTTAGCAATCAAATGACTGCCAATATCTGATATTCCGAGGCCCTTTCCTGCAAAAATAGAGCCGTTGAAGCCGCCAATCAGTATTGCGCAGTCTTCTGTGACGAGCCGCTCCATTATTGCCAAGGAGTGCCCAAGCCGCTTGTGAAATCTAGAGGGAATATTCCAAATACGAAGGTATTCTAGGACATCAGATAGAGTGCCGCAGCTTAGCTGTGCAGAATGTAGAACTCTGAAGAGTAGATAGTAGACGGTCGTCGAGTCGAAAAGAAAAAAAGCGCGAGCGACGAGAAAGATCGCCACTAATTGCAGCAACTTGCTGCACATGTGCCTTTGCCTCCCCCGTTTATTGTGATGTAATTTTTTCTGCCTAGTAAATTGTGGAGACATGGGCAAGATATCCTTGAGTGAATCAGAACTGATCCTTGGGTGAATCAGAACTGAACGAAACGTGAGCTATGTATGCGACTCTTAGACGCGAAGGTGAGAAACCAAGAAACTTGACGCTTAAGACAAGAGCCAACGGCGCACATCTCACGCCGCATATTGCGACAGTTAGGCAAGAGCCGCTATCGATTCATCTTTTAGCTCTCTCTATTGTCCCACAGTCAGACTTGATACCCATCCGTGATAGTTGTTGAAGCTCTTTACTCAATCTTCAAGCCCACAAATGCCGGCATTGCGAACCGGCTTCGCCGTCTTCCGGCATTTGGCTGACGCTTGCATCCTGCTCTCATTTACTTTCGATACAAGTGATACCGGAATATGAAACGACTTGAACGGCCTGGGGTTGCGCAAAATGAAGGTGTGGCAGCTAGACTCCTTTTACAAACCACGCTGATTATAGATAAGTGCCCAAAGAAAAGGATTCTCGTCAATATTAAAACGAAACGGATCCCAACGTGGCTAGCAATAAGTTCAAGATTAGATCATGCCACATGTGCACGCTCAGTCGTGTTTGCCTCTACTATCGGCCGTTCAATTCTTGCCGCTGTCTTCTTTCAGCGAAACAATGCGGTTAAGAGCTACATGATCATCAGTGGTATCAGGGTCGACGGTCTGAGCATAGCAAGCGTTGTTAGAAACTCTGAATAAAATGTACGATACCTCCAAAGGCACGCATATTTTCACGATGAATGAAGATTGTACACCTACAAAATAACCAGTGCGCATAGCCTGGAACCTGACGCTTTGCGGAGCACTGCCCTCATTGTTGGCAGCAACCTTGGGCCAGGGAGCAGTCTTGCGCACTTCATCGAACCCGCTCGAAATCAAAGCATCATGATAGATCGTCTCGCTGTCGGGACGTATATCGTTCCTAAACCCGCCTTCGGCTTGCATCGGATCATCCGATTTGAAGAGGGGAGCGTACACACGCACTTCTACCGCTCTGGATCCCTCCGGCACCCAATGGATATACGCCTTGGGCTTTTTGCAGTCCTTGTCGAATACAGCTCGGATCTCTGTGATGACGCCTGTGGTTGGGTTCTTGGAAAAGCTCACAGCCTTGACAGGGTATGGCGATTGGATGAGCCCGACCGTCTTCCCAGGTGCTAGACGGAAGTAGTCCTTGCTGTCAGCCTCTCGGAAATCGGACCGCTCTATAAAGATGGTTTGCGTTAGAAGCTGGGTGTGGCCATTCAGCTCCGACGTGGGAGATGGAATGCGGCGCTCGGAGATTCCAGGATCAATTTCGTCCTCAATCACCAAAGCCACGGGGTCCAGGACAAGCATCAGACGAGGCACCGTTGTTTCCAGATACTTTCGAACAGATTGCTCAAAACGGTTCACTTGGATGAACGTTCTGGAAGTTGTGACTCCGAGTTCATTGATGAAGGATAAAATCGCACCAGGTGGAACGCCACGTCGGCGCAGGGCTACCAGAGTGTAGAGACGAGGATCATCCCAGCCTCGGACGATTTTGTCTTCGACAAGCGCCGAGAGCCCTCGCTTGCTCATGACGGTTCCATTTAAATTTAGTCGGCCTACATCGTGTCAATTTGAAACTCGAAAGCAATGCATAGCGGCATTGCATACCAAATTCCCTTTGCATGGGTTCATAAACCTTGAGGCTCTTGTTGAGCCATTCGTAGCTCTCCCGTGACAATACAAATTCAGATGTGCAGAGACTGTGAGTCACCCCCTCCAAGCTGTCGCATAGACAGTGTGCAAAGTCATATGTTGGGTAGATGTTCCATTGATTCCCGGTCCTGTGGTGCGGAGTTTGGTCCTTTGGGATACGGTATGCTGCGAGATCCCACATCTGTGGATTTGGATTCGAAATGTCTTGCTTCAGGCGTAGGAAGGCCGTTTGAGGCTTATATTTGCCGTCGCGCATCATGCGGAACTTGACCAGGTTTGTCGACACATCCTGTTCAGAGTGGTCACATCTGTACCTCGGCCCTTCTTTGCCTTCATGTCCACCCCGCTGCCGCTTGATCTCAGATTCGTTGCAGTGGCAAACGTAAGCCTTTCCTAACTCTATTAGTTGTTCTGCATAGTCGTAAAGTTTTTGAAAGTTGTCGCTCGAGTATGTGATGGCATGTGGAGTATACCCCAACCAACGTATTGTCTCTTTGATAGCATCAACAAACCCTTTCCCCTCAGCGTCTGGATTTGTATCGTCGAACCTTAGCGGAAAAGAATTAGTGGCAGTACTTGGCTACGCAGCTATGTAAATGTCTTGCCTAAGAATCTTGGGTTTTGGTTAGCTCTAGGCCCATTGCTGTCCACCTGAGGCTGCATGACTTGCCGTTTTACCGCCGTGATATCGGGCGAATCCAAAGTCAACTGCGATAGCTTTTGCGTGGCCGAGATGCAGAACCCCATTTGGTTCGGGCGGAAAGCGTGTGACAACGCGCTCGGCTGGGAGCTCGTTGTACACATCCGCGAGAAAGCCCCGCATGAACATGGCATCAGGATCAACTTGTATGCCATCCGTCTTCTCTTGCGGTGGGAGTTGTTGTTTTGGTGTATCATTTGGTTTCCCAGCTCGCGCGGCGGCAGTAGCGGCCTTCCTTGCCCGCTTTTGCTGTCGTTTCTTCAGTTCCCTTTTAGACACCATTTCGCCTGTTTCTTCATCAAGCTGAAGCTGAGCGAGAGCTTCAGTCGCGTGTTCTGGAGCCTGGCCTGCCATTTCGTCAGGGTCTGTTACGGGGAATGGGTAAATTTGGGACGGATTGGTCAGATGAGCTCATGAGAGAGTTTAAAAGGGGCTTGATATGAAGTTTGGAGCCGGTGGAATGGGAAAGGAGATGGAAGTAGTATGACTCCCACCAACAGTAGTGGTGAGTCACGTAACCACAGGACCTTTCATTCGCACAGGGCAACCAATGCCCCTTCCCCCTGCTTAAGGCCTGGGTTCAATTCCTGCGCTCAAGCTATGATCAAACACCATTCGTTTTGGCATGGTTATGGTAAAGAAGCGGAACCAGTCCCTACATCGCAAACTTGAATCGTGATGTTGCTGGACCGTGAATGGGCCAAGATATCTGATTGCAGTATTGCATGCGGCACCTGGAGTAGGAATCCATGTGCCAGACCGTCGGAACTTAGTATCCAAGTCAAAAGTATCATCAACTGAACTTCTGCAAAGTTGCGCCTTGGTTCAGGTACGACTGCAACTGCAACTGCGAGGTGCGAGGGCCAGGCACGGAGTACCCTATATGCATTTTATGTACTCTGCATTCGTTTTCATGCTGACAGTTACCTGTGGTGCGACCAGCGGATACCTTCGGCACCATCATCATCGGCTATCGGCCATCTACCCGTTTCGGCTTACTGTCTGGTGCCCCGCCGCGGGGCAGCTGCAAGCAAAAAAAGTCTGAGTTGCAGAGTTCAATGCATGCCACTTCGTGGTTGTGCCACGCCACCTGCGTCCGCCCTTTCTTTGCATCTCTTCCAGAATCCTTGGTGGATACCTGTCCTCTCCTCTTTCTCTTCAATCCTCTTCCTCCCCGTCACAATAATCCTTTTATTTCTTCTCCATAACTGCATCTATCATCTGTCGCCATGGCTAGCGGAGTGCCTCATGTTGGGCGCAAGCCTGCCACTGTCCTCTCCGCCACCGAGCTGATCGGCAACACTCCCCTCGTCCGACTCAACAAGGTGCCTCAGTCGCTCGGCGTAGAATGCGACGTTTACGCAAAGACGGAGCTGTTCAATGCCGGCGGCAGTGTCAAGGACAGGATTGCCTTGCGAATGGTGGAGGAGGCCGAGAAGAGTGGCAGGATAAAGCCGGGCGATACTTTGATTGAGCCCACCAGCGGCAACACGTATGTTCTTCTTCCCACAACATGCCATGAGTGAAAATAACACGTCGCCATAGCGGCATTGGTCTGGCCCTCGTTGGTGCCATCAAAGGCTACAAAACCATCATCACCATGCCCGAGAAAATGTCGGCCGAAAAAGTTTCTGTGCTTCGAGCCCTCGGCGCCACCATCATCCGTACTCCCACCCAGGCCGCCTGGGACGCTCCCGAATCGCACATTGGAGTCGCGCGCCGTCTTGAAAAGGAAATCCCCAACGCCCATATCCTCGACCAGTACGGTAATCCCGATAACCCGCTTGCCCACGAGCATGGTACCGCCGAGGAGATATGGGAACAGACGGGTGGCAAGATTACTGCTGTTGTTGCTGGTGCTGGCACTGGCGGCACCATTACCGGTATTGCCCGTGGCTTGAAGAAGCATAGCAAGGACATCAAGGTTATTGCTGCCGATCCTCAGGGCAGTGTTCTTGCTCTGCCGGAATCTCTGAACCAGGAGCATGTGAATGAGCCGTACAAAGTGGAGGGCATTGGATACGACTTCATCCCAGATGTTTTGGACCGTGAAATTGTTGACAAGTGGTACAAGACGGATGACGAGGAGTCGTTTGTCCTTGCGAGACGCTTGATTGCCGAAGAAGGTCTTCTCGTCGGCGGCTCTTCTGGATCGGCCATGGCTGCCATGCTCAAAGCCGTCAAGGACTACGGTTTCAAGAAGGGTGATGTTGTGGTTGTCGTGTTGCCCGATAGCATCCGCAGCTACTTGTCCAAGTTTGCCGACGACGACTGGCTCGCCGCCAACGGTCTCCTGTCCACCGGCAGCGCTGAAACCTCCCTCGCCAAGAACGCCACTGGCGGTGATGCTTCCGATCCCTACGCTGGTGCTACCATTGCCTCTCTCCGTCTGAAGCCGGTTACTTCTGTCGTCGATACTGCTCCGTGCTCCGAAGCCATTGAGACTATGCGTGACAAGGGCTTCGATCAGCTTCCGGTGCTGTCTGCCACCTCCAAGCTTGTCGGTATTGTCACCCTCGGCAACCTGCTGTCATACATCTCCCGTGGCCGGGCCACACCCCAGAACCCCGTCAAGGACGTCATGTTCAACTTTAGCCGTCTGGACGAAATTGTCACCGATCCCCGACAGAGCGCTTCCGTGGCCAAGACCACTGGCCCCAAGCGAAAGTTTGTCGAAATTACCCTGGATACGCCACTATCTACCCTTAGCAAGTTCTTTGAGTGGAACAGCGCCGCAGTCGTGACAGCACGCAGTGACGAGAAGGGATCATTGTCCAAGCCTATTGGTGTTGTTACAAAGGTTGATTTGTTGACTTGGATGGTCAACAAGAAATAAGATGCGGGCATGTTTTGCTTTTCCAAATTTTTACATGGTGGCATGATTGGGCGTTTTGTTTGCGACTGTAGCTATGAAATAAGGATTTCATTGGATGATCAACTGGGCATGGGTAGTAGACTCAACATCTACACAGATGATTTAGATTTTCTAAATGAATGCATTTAGTTACAAATACGCATGATGTGCCGTGCCCCGTGGCGATAGATGAACGAGGTAATGTTTGAAATTAATAGTAGTATAGTGAAGTATACCCTTGTCCACTTCAGTAGTTTGTCCAGGGAGAATTTATTTATACACGCTGCGCCATCCACCACCACCACTTGTCAACATCTGCCTCCTTGGTAGTAACACTCCCAGGGACAACCTCGACGTCAATATCAAACTCGCCCATCTGCTGAAACGAAAACTTTTCCGAGCCATACTCCCCCAGCCACGAATCCTGCTCCTCTGACCCAATCTCGTCGACGCCAACTCCCGAGTCCAAAAGTCCCTTGCTCTTCGAGGCCCGAATCCGCGTCAGCTCATTCTCCAGCTGGCTCTTGACCAGGTTGGCCGGCAGCGCGGTAAACAAGTCCATCTTGTTGGCGGCAATCAAAACCGGGACCGCGGCCTTGTTCTTCCCCTTACCGCCCGCCCTGCGCTGCAGATGTAGCAGCACGTCGTAGAGATATGCGGCGGTGGGGGCGAGCGTCTCCTGCTCGCCCAGGGCGGCGGCGTCGACCATGAACACCACGGCCTTTAACTTGTCGGCATCGGCTAGCTTGGCCATGGCTACGTTGCGGAGCTTGCCGTGGCCCGGGGTGTCGACGAGCAGGAACTTGGTGTACGTGCCCGACGAGTCGTCGTGGTTCCTGAAGGAGCCTTTGGTCTTGGCGTCGGTGGTGGCGTTTAGTTCGACGGATTGCGTGCGCTGCGTGGTGTGCGTGTCGGCGGGATTGGTGCCGCGCTCGAGGAGGGTGAGCAGGGACGTCTTGCCGGCGTTTTCGGGCCCGACGAGGAGTACGGTCGGGGCGATGGTGTATGTGGCGGAGGAGGCGAGGACGAAGTGTAGCAGGATCGGGCCGCCGATCATGATGAGGAACCCGAGGAGGATGACGGGGATGGACGGCGTGAGGAGCGCCTCGACGATTTGCGTGGCTGTCGGCATGGTGATGGTGATACTGAGGGCGATGTGGGAGGAGAGAGGGGGGAAGGGATCGAGCGGGAAGCTCGTGGTTATAGCTGCGGAGGAGAGATTGGCGTGGCGTATATGCGCAGCATGTATCGTGTGTTGAAGGTTTGGACCTTGTGCGAGGGTGGTTTGACGGCTTGGATCGCAGCTTTTATCGAACCATGTGGATGTGGTGTTGCGACCTTGGCAGAAAGTTTACGCCACAGGTAGAAGGGGACACCAGCCACAATAGAAAGGGCGGTAATTGCACCAGACTGTGGTTGAGCTGTCACTGGTCCCCTGACAAGCCACGCTGTACTCTGTAGCCACGGGGCTTCGTGTCATTGCCGCAGGCGGGTCTCAGATTTGGACGACGACGAAAGAGACTAGGCGCAGGATTTGTGTAGGTAATTGTCATTTGAGGGGAGATACATAAGATGATTGTGTGGATGAAGTGAAGTAAAAAATTATTGAGATGCGCCTGCTGGAATATTTGTCTTATGGTCCAAATGGTGAATTGTCTAGACATGATCAAATCGCTAATAGCAACGGGGTCCATTGACCCCTGCACGGCCGCCCTGCTCAGCCTCGTTCAGCTCTGAGCATTGGCTTCTGAGTGGCCAGCGGGTCCGTCGGTTCCCTCATCCCCGTCCGGGATAATTTCCATCTCGTCCAGATCACGCCGCCTCGGATACAAAGAAATCCTGCACCAGTGCTAAAGTTTGCTATCCCCTTTGCAATGCTTACCCTGTGTGCGGCCGTTGCGTTCTCATGATTTTGTTTTTACCCCAACCTTAATTTCCCAGCACGTACTCCGTAAGCAGCTGCCCTCGGCACAACCAGCCTCGAGAATTCTTGCTCTCGGGTTTTGTCAGCCACGACGCTTCGAGGCGCATCCCCCAACATCTCAACACCGATTCTCTCGTTTGGCTCCCCTTGCAACCGGGCCATCCGGGCGCTGCGCAGGCCTGCTGCTCCTGCCGTTACATGAGTAGTCCTGCTAGACCGAGCAGCAAATCCGCTGCGTCCGCGAGTGGTGCCAGTGCGCCCCCCATACAGTTTGCTACCAAGTCTTCGGTTGCATCTCCGAAGCTCAACAACGAAATGGAAATGGGCAGCCTCGCCGCCGATGGCCAGACGGGCGATGATGATGCTGCTGTCGCCGTCAGTCCCGAGAAGGACATCATGCAGCTGGCGCGGATAGGTGACATCGTTGCCATGGAGAAGCTATTTGAGTCGGGAGATTTCGATGCTACATACAGTGACGACGAGGGCATCACGCCCCTACATGTAAGCAGGCCGGCCAGCAACCACCCCATCCCTTCCAACGATGTCATTGTCAAACTGGAGAACGAAATCTGGAAGATGTAAAACTTGACGCTGACAATCCCAGTGGGCTGCCATAAACAACCAGTATGCCATGTGCAAGTTCCTTATCGAACACGGCGCCGAAATCAACCGCAAAGGCGGCGAGTCTGTTGCTACACCTCTCCAGTGGGCAGCCCAACGATGCCATTACTACACTGTTAATCTGCTTCTCCAGCACGGCGCCGACCCTCTCATCACCGATGCCCAAGGCTACAATACTCTGCACATCTCAACCTTCAACGGGAATACCCTGCTGATTGTGCTGCTCTTGCACCAGGGCATCCCCGTCGACGTCCTTGATACCTTTGGGCACACTTCGCTCATGTGGGCAGCGTACAAAGGCTTCCCCTCGTGTGTAGACGTCTTCCTGCGCTGGGGCGCCAGCGTTCACGCGGCCGACGAGCAGGGATTCACAGCTCTCCACTGGGCTTTGGTCAAGGGCAATCCGGGATGTATCCAGAAGCTTATTGAGTACGGCGCCGACCGGTTTGCAAAGACTGAGAGCGGCAAGACGCCTTCGGTGACGGCCACCGAGCTAAATACACAGCCTGCGTGGCATCGAGCCTTGAGGGAATGCGGCTACGACCGCGAGGGCAATCCAGTGACTCCTCCGTGGCCTGGTGCCAATTATTTCCTAAAGGATAAGAGGGCCTTCACATCCAAGTTTCTCTTCTTCTGGCCGTGGGTCATGATTTGGGGTGTGCTCATTGTTCTGTCCTATGCGCCGGTATTCTTGGGTCTTCCGTTGGCGGCCGGGGTTGTGTATTGCGCGCATTGGTGCGCGACGCAGGTTTTGGAGTATGCTCCATCTGACATGCGACACTTTCACAAAACGGTGAGTTTCGGACCCGTGCTGGATTTTTCCCTGTCTGTCATCTGACGTCTCTCTAGCCCTGGATGGCTGGCATTTTCGCGGGCTCCCTCTTCCTCGTTGGAGTGAACTGGCTCAGCACTGTAGTGTGGACCACGATTCGCGGCGAGAGCTCACACATGATTCTGAATCTTGTATTTGGCGTTCTTTTCGGGTTGACCACATTCTTCTACGCAGCGAGCATGCGATATGATCCTGGATTCGTGCCAAAGTTGAATGGCATCGCGGAGCAGCGGGCCGTCATTGACGAGCTTCTGGCTAGCTGGAGGTTTGACGAGGCCAATTTCTGTGTTACTTGCATGATTCGTACACCGCTCCGAAGCAAGCATTGCAGACGCTGCCAGCGTTGTGTAGCAAAGCATGACCAGTACGTGCAGCAAATGATGTTTTGATGAAGGTTTCCACTGACGACGTGAATGTAGTCACTGTCCCTGGGTGTACAATTGCGTTGGCATCAACAACCATAGACACTTTTTCTTGTACCTTGTTAATCTGACCTTTGGTATTCTTGCCTATGACTGGCTAGTGTATTATTGTGAGTTCAACTTTTAGTCGGAGTCCAGGACAATATTGCTAACTTGATCTAGATTTTGGTGTCGTTGCTACAGACGCTCCCGCGTCTTGCAATGTCCTCGGTCCCGGCCTCTGCCAGCTCATCAACTCGGACGCCTACACTCTACTCCTGTCTGTCTGGGTTAGCCTGCAGCTGATATGGGTGACCATGCTGGTGTTCACCCAGCTCGTTCAAGTTTCCCGGGCCATGACGACGTTTGAAAACATGACGGGCATTCACACTCGCGAGGCGACTACGGCGCTTACCTCGACCGGGACACCTCTGGATCCATCTCTCGCAGCGGCCGCGACATCCACCACGTCCGCCAGCGGCCACGGAGGTAGACACAAGGGGGGCATGCTCAAACAATGGAGCCGCATTCTCGGTGTTGACCCCTTTATCGAGACGATTACCGGCCGTGGCGCTGCCACTGGTAACAGTAGACGAAAGAAGAAGAACCCCTACAGCCGGGGTTGTGTGTCCAATTGTAAGGACTTTTGGTGCGATCCGGCTCCCGTCTTTGGCCAGAGAGAGAACGGAACGGCTGTCCTCGGGGGTGGCAAAGTGGACTACACGGCCATGTACGAGAGCCCTACACTGATGAGCCTCACGGGCATGAGAACACGCGGGGGGTACGAATCCGTCGAGACGGAGGAGGTATAGACGTCGGATCTGGGGACAAGTCTTGATGCATACACCTTTTTCGGCGCACGGTAGATGTCTTATTTTGTGTTTGCATTTGGGGCGGTTGTTGAGCAGGTGGCCCTTGGAAGAGGCCAGGCGTGTCACGCTGGGTGTGCGTTCTTGGATGCTTCACACGAGCGTGCGAGCTATGATTTATGACCAGGGACCTCGGCGAGGTTGTAATAGAGTATTGTCAAGTGTATGATGAGTTGTCAGCACGTTGTGGCGGCGTGTGAAATGCCGCGTCCACCTCGCAATCTTGCACCGTGTGCTTCTCAGCAACGGGAGTGCGTGATTTTTCGTCAATGCTTGATATGTGCAAATAAATCTAAAGAGTATATACTAGGCACACCGTGCAACGACGTACGCGCACACCCCGTCGGCATGTCCTCTCCACCCCGGGGCCACCTCACAAAGTCCACATGCATGTCGTCACTTGAGGTTGGCAAACCCCATGGTCCCGTCGGCGACGTTGTGGTCGACGTAGCGCCCCTGGAAAAACGCCTGGCCGACGAGCCAATTGTCCCCAAAGGCGTCGGACCCGTGCACCGCGGCGGTGCAGTTGTCGCCGTCGCTGGCAAACGCCAGCGCCGAGGGCAGAATGTCAAAGTTGGCGCCGGCAAAGGAGAAGCCAATGGTCGGCGGGGCGCTGCAGTTGTAGTAGCCCGCGAGGCCGGTGCTCGTGGACACGGCCTGGATGCCGGCGCGCGCGAAGACGTCGGCGACGCGGTGCGTGGGGCCGAAGATGACGGTCGTGCCGGAGTCGGTGATGATGCTGGCGCCGTGCTGGACCGGCGTCCCGTCGACCGTCACGTCGCCTTGTACCGCCCACTCGCCCTGTGCTAGGGGGACCGTGGTTAGCGGCTCTGTGAAGGTGTCGGTTGCTAGTGTGCCGTAGTACAGTTCGCCTGTCTTGTTGGGACGCAGGGCGAGGCCGAAGCGGCACGTTGACAGGGCGCCCTGGTCGCAGAGGCTGTTGATGAAGGGGGAGCCGCGGAGCGCGCTGCCCTGCTGGCTGGCGTAGCCGATGAGGCCGTCGCGCGGGAAGGTCGGCGGTGAGGTTGGGTCTTGGATGTCGCCTAGGGTTTGGTTGGCCACGGTGAGGTTGGCTGAGAGCTGGGTGATGACGTCTTGGTAGACGTTGCCGGATGCCTGGCGTTTTGTGTATTTAGCGTCCTGTTGTGTCGGGGGTTGCGGGGCGGTTTTTTCACTTACGGTCAGAGTGCCCGATCCGTCTGGGTTGGTGGTGGCGTAGGAGATTCTGAAGCGGCGGTTGGCGTTGACGGACCCCGGCGAGGGCTTGTAGACGCCTGGGTTGAGGATGGCGTCCGACGAGCCGGTGTCGATGAGGATTTCGAGGTCTGGACTCGCTCCGACGGTGAAGTGGGAGAACCAGAAGCCCTGGTTTTTGGACCTGTTAGTCTTTTGTATATTTTGCTCGTGGGGGTTGGGGCAGACGTGCCTGGTCGTTGAACACGGGGGTGTCGTTGCCCGCTGCGGCAAGGCCCTTGATTGAGGCTA